GCACACGCACACGCACACGCACACGCACACGCATACGCATACGCAGACACAGACACAGACACAGACACAGACACAGACACAGACACAGACACAGACACAGACACAGACACAGACACAGACACAGACACAGACACAGACACAGACACATACACAGACACAGACACAGACACACACACGCACACACACACACAAACACTCACAAGCACACACGCGTGCACGCACGCCCACACACGCCCACACACGCCCACACACACACACGCACGCACACACAGACATAGACACAGACACAGACGCAGACACAGACACAGACACAGACGCAGACGCAGAGACAGAGACAGAGACAGAGACAGAGACAGAGACACAGACAGAGATTGAGACAGAGACAGAGACAGAGACACAGACACAGACACAGACACAGACACAGAGACACACAGACACAGAGACACACAGACACACAGACACACAGACACAGAGACACACAGACACACAGACACACAGACTCACAGACACACAGACACACAGTCACACAGACACACAGACACACAGACACACAGACACACAGACACACAGACACACAGGCACGTACACATACACGCACACGAGCGCAAACACCCACCCGTACACCCACCCAACCATCCACCCACCCACCCATCCATCCATCCATTCGCACACCCACACACCCACACACCCACACACCCACACACCCACACCCACACCCTCCCACGCACACCCACACACAGTCAATCACACACACGGACACGCACGCAGACACACTCACGCACAAACGCAAGCACAAAGAATAATACACACAAACGCAGAGAAATCCCTGCGGCAGCTTGCCAACAATTGTTCCCAAGGTGGGCCAGCGGATGCCGACCTGTTCGGCTCCTCTGCGAGCCGGTCGCCCCGCTCTCCCTCCCGCCTCCGCGCCGCTGGGAGCCAGCAGGCCTCTGGCCCCGGCGGTGTCCGCCCGCGGGTCGCCCCCCTGCATGGCCTGGGCGCGGTCGCCCTGAGGCCGGTGGGGCGTGGGGTCGCCGTCGGACCGCGGCATGAGCGACCGTGCCTAGGGGGGCACATGCGAACCCTACCCCTACCCCCCACGATTTCTGAGGGGGGAGGGTGGGGTTCGCTTCGTTCGGGAGCTCCCGAGCGAAGTGACCCCCCCCTCCCCCTCAGAAGTCGTGGGGGGGTAGGGGTAGGGTTCGCATGTGGCCCCCTATGTGCTGAGATCCGATGCACGTCGAGGAAGAACAAGCGACACAATTGTGAACTTTCGACGGTCCGCGCGGATTTCGTGGATCTGCGCTGTGGCGCCCTGGCGGCGCTTCTGGCGCCGGCCCTGGCGCGCTCCGCGCGCCAGGCGGGGGGGCCCAGCGCAGATCCAAGAAATCCGCGCAGACCGTCGACAGATTCTATTTGTGTCGCTTGTTCTCTGCTTCTAGCACTGCGCGCGAAACGAGAGAGAAAAAGAGCAGGAGCGGAGAGATGGCCCCTCTCCTCGGCCTCGAGGAGGCCCCTCACGATGAGACTGCCTCCTTGGGATGTCCACGGGGCGCGGCTTTCGGTGGGGTGCGGGGTGGAACGAGGCGGGGCTGGCGCTGGAGACGAGCGCCCTGCCGGTCCATGGATCCGTCCAGATCCATCGACTCGGAGAGATGCCAATCCGAGGATCTCGCGGAGCGCTGTCTAATATGGGCGAGCACGGATGCGCTCCCGGCGTGAAGCGAAGGGGGAGGGGCCATCGTCGAAGAGGAAATGCCGCCATAACTACGCACTTTTGGTCCTCCGTGGCGATTTTTTTGATCCTCGCTGGGGCCCCCCGGCGGCGCCTCTGGCGCCACCCCTGGCGCGCTCGGCGCGCCAGGGAGGGGGGTCCAGCGCAGATCCAAAAAGTCCGCGCGGAGAGCAAAATGTTTATTTATGTGTATGGCGTTTCTATGTTTTCTGTAACATGCGTGGCCATGGTCTCGCAGCCGCTCTTACCTCCATGCGCCAGGCGCCGAGGTAAATCAGGAGGGAAAAAACACACAGACACAATGAATCGTCGATCCCCAGGAAAATATGGGACAATGTGGGACGTGGGGGGGAAGACAAAAACCCAGAAAATATGGGAACATATAGGAAACCATGTTGTTTGTGTGTATTTATTCGTGTGTCCTTCGGCCCCTTCAGTACAGCTCTTTGGGGCCGCACGGGCGTCGTCCGCGCCTCCTCGGTGCTGGGGAGGGCGGGGCGCCCTCGGCAGCGCGCCGCGCCCCCCTTCGGGCATGCGGCGCCTCTCGGCTGGTCATCTGCCCCTCATCCTGGCCAGGAACGGTGAGAGGGCATGGGGCTTACTCAGGAGGGGAAAAAACACGCAGGCACAATGAATCGTCGATTCCCCCGAAAATATGGGAAAAGATGGGAATGGGGCGGGAAGACAAAAAACCCAGAACATATGGGAACATATGGGGATCTTTTTATTTGTGTATTATTCGTGTGTCCCAGGGCCCCTTCAAATTTGCCCCTCATCCTGGCCAGGAACGGTGATGGGGCACGGGGTTTACTTCACGCAAGGGGGGGGCGAAGGGAATCGCACGCAGCGGTCCGCGGGCCTGGCCCAGAGAGCTGCATCTCTCCGGGGAGTCCGCGCACGAGCGCGAAGATAGCCGCGCCAGGCGCGGCGCGAAGCGCGAGACTAGATGACCTTTTGTAGGGGTTTCGCGTCATAAACACGAGCACTTTCAGCGGGACGAGCGCGCTGACAGACCGAGGGAGGTGCTCGAGGACTGGACGACCTCCAAATGTTGTTGCGACCAACGTTGCGTGGAGCCACTTCAATGGAAAAGTGCCAGACGTGCGCATTTGTTTGTCCGTAGGTAGGTTTGTCGTCGAAGCTTCTTACTGCTTGCTTAAGGTTTGGGCCAGGCTGGTGGGCGAGGCTGGACTTTTTGGTGTTGCTCAAACTTTTTTCTGGGCCTGACTCTGACCATCTGGTCCGAACGTTCGAAAACTCACAACCAGCTGTACCTCGTGTTTCCAGAGCTCCACTCCTGGTCTTGATATTGACCATCTGGGTACTAACATTGCGGTCTCAACATGGTGTTCCAGAATTCCACTTCCAAGCAGAATGTTTCATTTCAGGGTCGTGACACTCACAGGGGGGCGCTTTTTCGTGTCGGCGGGACTCCATTCCTGGCATATGTTTTGACAATATGGAGCCAACCATTTGGCGTTTGGTTGCTTTTTATGTTTCCAGATGCAGCTATTGCATCCTAAGGATTCGTAATTTTCCATGTCTTCCCTTTCATCCTTGCCTACCTCCATCCTAGCCCTTACACGCGGACTTCGGTTATCTTAAATCTGTCGTGGGCGCTTATTTCAAACTATTCAATTCGATGTGTTGGGCTTGTTTGTATTAGCGGTTCTCAGGTCCCGAAATCAAAGGGTTTGGCTTTTCCCCTCGTCGGAGCCCGCTGCGGATGGGCAGTGGGTTCCCAGACAGCTTTCGCACTGTTGCCACACCAGTGCCAGAGCGTTTGTTGTGTGTGTGTGTGTGTGTGTGTGTGTTTGTAGTTGCGTGCTTGTTTTAAAGTGGTCAGTTCTGCGCGCAGGGGCAACTTTTCCAGCCCCCGCCCCACCTGTGAACGTTCCGGCGAGAGCGGGAGAGCGGGAGCGAAGACGGAAGAGAAGAAAAGAGTGGTCTTCGACAAGAGCGCAAATGCCTCGAGAAAACGATGTTCCCCAGCGACGGGCTCGAAAACGCTTTAACAACAAAATCAAACACGATAAATCATCGTAACATGTTTTTGGCGTCAGCAGCTACTAGGGCGCGCGAGCGGACTGCCTCTGCCGCGTTGCGACGAAACCAGGTTTTAGCGTTGTCAGCCTGTCACGGGCTCCAAGAAGAACACGCAACAAAAACATGACGTTTTTGGATGAACCACGGCCATGGGCCATGTGGTTACAAATGTGGCTTCACTTTGGGCGTCCAAGGGCGTTGCATCCTTACTGCGCATCCTTATGATCCGTTTGCACTGTATCCACATCGGGGGCTGATGATGAGCGTCAGGTGCCCACCCTCGAGTTCGTGCTACTTTCCACCTCACTTGTAAATGCTAGTCCTGCTACAGCTTCGCTCTAGATCTGGCCTAGCTCTAGTCCCTAGCCCCAGATCCACCAGCTCCAGCCTCAGCTCAGGCTTCCTTTCAGCCCCAGCCCCAGCTCCAGCTCCAGCCAGCTTTTGCTCCAGCTTCAGTCCCATGTCCAAACCCAGCCCCAGCTCCAGGCCTAGCTCCGGGACCCGGTCCAGCTCCGGCTCCAGCATAGTTCCAGTTCCAGATCTCGCCCAGGTTCAGCCCCAGCTCCAGCCCCAGCCCCAGCTCTAGCTCCAGCTCCAGCTCCAGCTCCAACCCAGCTCCAGCTTCGTTCCAGCCCCAGGTGGAGCCGCATATCTTGCTTCAGCTTCGCTCGAGCCACAGCTACAGATCAAACGCCAACTCCATCCTCGGATCAAGTTCCAGCTCACCTCAAGCCCCAGATTCATCTCCTGGTCCAGGTCCAACCCCAGGTTTACAGCTCTCCAGCTCCAGCCCCAGCCCCAGTTGCCAGCTCCAGCTCTAGCCCAGCTCTAGCCTAGTCCTAGCTCTAGCCCAGTTCCAGCTCCAGTTCCAGCTCCAGCTCCAGCTCGCCCAGCTTCGCCCCAGCCGCAGCTTCGCTCCAGCTCCAGCTGCAGCCCAAGCTACTGTCCAGCTCCAGCTCCAGCAGCTCCAGATCCACCCCCGCTACACCCTCAACTCCAGCCCCAGCTCCGCTCCAGCGCCAGCTGCAGCTCTAGCTCCAGCCCCAGCTTCAGCCTCAGCTCCAGCTCCCAGCTCCACTTCCAGCCCAGATCCAGCTTGAGCTGTGTTCCAGCTACACCATCAGCCACAGCGTCAGCCTCAGCCCCAGTTCCGCACCACGTCCAGATCCTGCTCCAGCTCTAACGGCAACTTCAACTCCAGCCCAACTCCAGCCCCAGCCCAAATTATGCCCCGGCTGGGCCCCAGGTCCAGGCTCCAGCTCCGTCTTCAACCCAGCTTCAGTTCCAGTTTTGTTCCAGTCCCAGCGTCAGCCCCAGCTGCAACACCAGCTCCAGCCCCAGCTACGGTGGAGCCCCAGCTCCAGCCCCGGGTCTGGGCCCAGCTGCAGACCTAGCTCCAGCTCCAGTTCTGGCTCCATCCCAGCCTTGGCCCGGCCCAGTTCCAGTCGCAGCTCCAGCCCCAGTTCCCATCAACCTCCAGACCCAGCTCCACTTCAGTTATTGCTTCCGCTCCGCCCCAGGTTCGCTCCAGCTCCATCCCCACCTCCAGCCCCAACATCAGTCCAGCTACAGGTACAGCTTCAGGTCCACCCAACAATTCCAGCTTCGCTCCAGCCCCAGTTCCACCGCCAGCTCGAGCTCCAGTTCCGCTCCAGCTCCAGCTCCAGCCAAGCCCCAGCCCCAGCCTCCGCTCCAGCTCCGATTCCAGCTCAAGCTCCAACCTTGCGCCCTTTCGACTGTAACCTGGTGTTCTGGTAACGCATACATGTTTTTCCGGATTTCATATGCCAGGTTGCTTGGCTCAGGTTTCGCAGTTGTTATTGCCTCGGTTAGAGTGGGCCACCCGGGCACCATACCCCAAGCTTCAGATCCCAGTTTCTTTTTCCAGACCATAACAGTGTATTGGTTGAACAGTTGCCCGCCCTGGGACACCAGCAGCTATTCGGCTGTCGCTCCTCGCGCTTGCTCCGCATCGACTCCGCCGTCGTCGAGAGCGCGCCGTGACGACTGCGAGTGGCTCGCGCCGGGGGGGCGAGGACGGTGGACCGGCGCGGGGATCCCGGGGCCTGTCTCCCATCGGGTCTGCGGGCGTCAATGCGGTCAGCACCTCGGGCGTCAAGGATGGAGATTTGGCAGCGGAGGGTGGTAGCGGAGCGGGTGGAGAGGGAGGGGATGGGGGAGGAGAGGAAGACGGAGGGAGGGGGAGACTCAGAGCAGGTGCTCCCCGTGTCGGTGCCTGCAGCCTGGCGGGTGCATCTCTCAGGGGACAGGGACCGACGAACCAGGGCGTCTGGAGGCACGTGCTGGACGACGCTCCAATGCGCCAGCGTCAGGGGAGGTGGATAGGGGGAGCGGAAGAGTGGGGGCATCGGGAGTTCGGGGACGGGACCCTTGGTACAGTCAACCCGCAGAGCAAGGATGGGCGATCTTCACCAGGGTACCCTCGCATCCTTGCCTCGTCGGTCTATCCTTGACCACTCACCGTTGGCCGCGCCCCGCTCGGGAAGCTTCGAAATGGGCATCCAAGGCCCGTGCATCCTCACCCCGCATCCTTGCTGTACGGGTTGACTGTGCCGCGAGGGAGGGCATCGGGAGGAGGGGGGCGCCGGGAGGATGGGGGACGGGCAGGGCGACACCCGTGGCCGGTGGCGGCTCGACTCGGGGCGCCGGCTCCCGCTGCGAGCGCCGTCGCCCTTGGCGAGGGGTGGGGGGACAGAGAGGTGAGGAGGAAGAGGGGGAGGGAGGGAGGGGGGGAGGGAGAGGCGAGGAGGAAGAGAGGACAGAGAGGTGAGGAGGGGTTGGGGGCAGAGAGGTGGGGAGGAAGAGAGGGAGGGGGGGAGGCAGGCAGGGAGAGGGAGGGAGAGAGGGGGAGATGGGGAGGGAGAGGAGAGATGGGGGGAGAGAGAGAGAGAGAGAGAGAGGGACAGAGCGAGGGATTGGGAGAAGGACGGAGAGAGAGAGAGAGAGAGAGAAACACCAAATCATATAGAAACAAACAACGAAAAAGAGAGAGAGAGAGAGGGAGAGATGGAGACATGGAGGGGTCAGAGAGAGGGAGAGAGATGGAGAGACGGGGAGGGAAGCGATGGGGAAGGTGGAGGAGGCGGGAGGGGGGAGGGGGAGGTGGATGGGGAAGGGCAGACGGCAGGATGCGCAGCTGGATGGGGAGCGGAGGGAAGTGGACCGGGATGGGGAGGGGAAGGGGGAGCTGGAAGTGGAATTGGACGGAAGGGAAGGCGCTGAGGTGCAGAGGGTGGAAGGGATGGGGGCGGGGGGGTGGCAGACGACAAAGACAAGGCCGACTGTTCGTCTGACGGTCGACGACTGACGACAACGGACGAGGACGACGACGGTGAGGAGTTGGAGGCGGAGTGGAGTTTGCGGGGAGGCGAATTAGGCGGCCTGATGATACAGTCGGGCCGCTGAAGACAGAACCCTTTTTTGGGGGAGGGGCTGAGTGTTCTGTAACGTGTTATAACCTGTCTCGGGTGTTCCTTGTATCTTCTATGGGGGATCGAATTTTGCCTTCCTGGTTCCTTATGTCGGGTGCCTTCCGACAGCGTTTCGACTGCACGAACACGTGTAGCCAACATGCCTAGAGTTTGTTCCTTCTGGGTTCTGGATTCCGGAGCGGGGCTCGATGGCCCTGAAACTTGCGTCCCATCGGCGGGCCTGTCTCGCTGGCCTTCCTCCTGGTGCACCTGGCCGCGCCCCAAGGGGGCCTTCGCTCCATGGGCCCTCGTCCCTAGGAGGAGGAGGAGGAGGAGGATGAGGAGGAGGAGGAGGAGGAGGAGGAGGAGGAGGAGGAGGAGGAGGAGGAGGAGGAGGAGGGAGGAGGAGGAGGAGGAGGAGGAGGAGGAGGAGGAGGAGGAGGAGGAGGAGGAGGGAGGAGGAGGAGGAGGAGGAGGAGAATCCAAACCTTGTCTTCTGACTTCCAAAAACCCAGCTCCTGGGAGCCACAACGCGAGCCCCCTCGGTGCAGCGCTCTCGGGGCGGCCGCGCCGCCCTCCGCGTGCCGTTTCGCCCCCCCCCCCCCCCCCCCCCCCCCCCCCCGGGGCTCGCCTGGGGCCCGTGCCCAGCTCTGCTCCTCCCACTCCTCTCAGGAGAGGAAAAAACACACAGACACAATTAACCCTCGATTCCCCCGAAAATATGGGAAAATATGGGAAGTGGGGGGGAAGACAGAAACCCAGAAAATATAGGAAAATGTTGGATATATGTTTATTTGTGTGTATTTATTTGTGTGTCCTGGGGCCCCTTCATCCTCGCTCAGGTCGAACGAAAAGGGGGGGCCGGAGCAGGCGGGGGGGCGGGTGCGAGCTCTGCTGCACGCACGGGGCGCCAGGGACCGACGAACCAGGGCGTCTGGAGGCACGTGCTGGACGACGCTCCAATGCGCCAGCGTCAGGGGAGGTGGATAGGGGGAGCGGAAGAGTGGGGGCATCGGGAGTTCGGGGACGGGACCCTTGGTACACTCAACCCGCAGAGCAAGGATGGGCGATCTTCACCAGGGTACCCTCGCATCCTTGCCTCGTCGGTCTATCCTTGACCACTCACCGTTGGCCGCGCCCCGCTCGGGAAGCTTCGAAATGGGCATCCAAGGCCCTTGCATCCTTACCCCGCATCCTTGCTGTACGGGTTGACTGTGCCGCGAGGGAGGGCATCGGGAGGAGGGGGGCGCCGGGAGGATGGGGGACGGGCAGGGCGACACCCGTGGCCGGTGGAGAGGGAGAGAGAGAGAGAGAGAGAGAGAGAGAGAGAAACATCAAATCATATAGAAACAAACAACGGAAGAGAGAGAGAGAGAGGGAGAGATGGAGACATGGAGGGGTCAGAGAGAGGGAGAGAGATGGAGAGACGGGGAGGGAAGCGATGGGGAAGGTGGAGGAGGCGGGAGGGGGGAGGGGGAGGTGGATGGGGAGGGGCAGACGGCAGGATGCGCAGCTGGATGGGGAGCGGAGGGAAGTGGACCGGGATAGGCCGACTGATCGTCTGACGGTCGACGACTGACGACAACGGACGAGGACGACGGTGAGGAGTTGGAGGCGGAGTGGAGTTTGCGGGGAGGCGAATTAGGCGGCCTGATGATACAGTCGGGCCGCTGAAGACGGAACCCTTTTTTCTTTGGGAGGGGCTCAGTGTTCTGTACCGTGTCATAACCTGTCTCGGGTGTTCCTTGTATTTTCTGTGGGGGATCGAAGTTTGCCTTCCTGGTTCCTTATGTCGGGTTCCTTCTGACAGCGTTTCGACTGCACGAACAAGTGTAGCCAACATGCCTGGAGTTTGTTCCTTCTGGGTTCTGGATTCCGGAGCGGGGCTCGATGGCCCTGAAACTTGCGTCCCATCGGCGGGCCTGTCTCGCTGGCCTTCCTCCTGGTGCACCTGGCCGCGCCCCAAGGGGGCCTTCGCTCCATGGGCCCTCGTCCCTAGGAGGAGGAGGAGAAGGAGGAGGAGGAGGAGGAGGAGGAGGAGGAGGAGGAGGAGGGGAGGAGGAGGAGGAGGAGGGAGGAGGAGGGAGGAGGAGGAGGAGGAGGAGGAGGAGGGAGGGAGGAGGGAGGAGGAGGAGGAGGAGGAGGGAGGAGGAGGAGGAGGAGGGGAGGAGGAGGAGGAGGAGGAGGAGGAGGAGGAGGAAGGAGGAGGAGGAGGGAGGAGGAGGAGGAGGAGGAGGAGAATCCAAACCTTGTCTTCTGACTTCCAAAAACCCAGCTCCTGGGAGCCACAACGCGAGCCCCCTCGGTGCAGCGCTCTCGGGGCGGCCGCGCCGCCCTCCGCGTGCCGTTTCGCCCCCCCCCCCCCCCCAGGCCCCCACCCCCCTGGGGCTCGCCCCTGCTCGGGTGGTGCCCAGCTCTGCTCGTCCCACTCCTCTCAGGAAAGGAAAAACACACAGACACAATTAATCCTCGATTCCCCCGAAAATATTAGAAAATATGGGAATTGGGGGGGAAGACAGAAACCCAGAAAATATAGGAAAATGTAGGATATATTTTTATTTGTGTGTATTTATTTGTGTGTCCTGGGGCCCCTTCATCCTCGCTCGGGTGGAACGAAAAGGGGGGGCCGGAGCAGGCGGGGGGGCGGGTGCGAGCTCTGCTGCACGCACGGGGCGCCAGGGAAGCCGGCTGTGCGGGGGGATTGGCTGACCTTCTCCTCTGGTCCGACCCGGCTCGCGCGAGGGTCGATGCTAGAGGATCGAGGGCCGAGGCTGTCACACCCTCAGCCGTAGGCATCCAGCGTCGCGACATGCTTTTTCATGACGTGGGCCCCCCTGATCTTCAAGCCGTCTAGAGTCGACGACGTCGACGACGACCTCGTCGACAACGTTGCCGCAGCCGCCGCCGCAGCCGCCTCCGCCGCCGCCGCCGTCGTCGTCGTCGTCGTCGTCGCGCTGTGAGAGCCCCTGCAGGCGTCCCAGCTGGCGGCGCCACCCAGCTCCGGATGGGGGCCATCTGCCCCAAGGGCGACGTCGGCGTCCTGCCGGTCAGCCTGGAGATCAGAGGGGGAAGAGTGATGATGATGATGATGATGATGATGATGATGATGATGATGGTGATGATGATGATGATGATGATGTTGATATGATGATATGATGATGACGATGATGGTGATGCTGATGATTATGATGATGATGGTGATGGTGATGATGCTGATGATGCTGATTATTCTTATCATTAATACATTTACTATTAGTGTTATGATCAGGATGCTGATGATGATAGTGACGTCGATGATGATAGTGGCAATGATGATTATGATTTTGTTCACCATCATCATCACAGAAGCCACCACCACCATCATCATCATGATCATCATCATCATCATCATCATCATCATCATCATCATCATCATCGATATCGATACAGCGATACAGCTGCCCCTCCTTCACTTTCGCCCGTCCTGGAAGGTCCCGGCCACCGCTGGATTCACCTCTGAGCCCTATCAGCATGTACCTATCGAGATGCCCCGGAAGTGCTGGTATCGGTACCGTGTCGTTCCCCCAGGAGAGCCCCAGGGAGCAGGATCCAGGCACCGTCTTTGGAAGATCAAGGCTTCTATTTGGTTTTGATGGATTTCGGCCGTTGTTGGGTATCGAGACAGGCAAAAACCTACCCAGGATAAAAACATTCAGGGGCTGGCGACTCGAAGACCGTTCAGCCGTTGGCGGCTACGCCTCCGCGAGGAGCAGGAACAAGTGTTGAGTGTTGACGATGGGTGCTCTTGGAAGTTTCTGTGAGCTTTCGGTGTGTGTTGTTTTGCTTTGCGTATGTGTGTGCGTGTGCGTGTGTGTGTGTGTGTGTGTGTGTGTGCGCATGTTTTTGCTGTTGTAGCCTGCTGCTCCCCCATCCCGCCCCTCGTCTGGGACCCCACGGCCGGGTTTCATCGATTTCGCCACGCGTGCAGGTGCAATGGATGCTCGCGTTTCCCGCCAGCGAACGGCGCGATTGTGCCACACGCCGCCGGAGGACGTACAAGTGTTTGCGCGCGTGTGTGTGTGTGCGTGTGTGTGCGTGTGTGTGTGTGTGTGTGTGTGTGTGTGTGTGTGTGTGTGTGTGTGTGTGTGTGCGTGTGTGTGTGTGTGTGTGTGTGTGTGTGTGTGTGTGTGTGTGTGTGTGTGTGTGTGTGTGTGTGCGTGCGTGTGTGTGTGCCTTTGTGTGCCACGCGCTTGCTGCTTTACAACTTTCTCCGTCCTGTCGCCGCGCGCAGGGCCACGACGCCAGACAAGTGTGTGTGTGTGTGTCGCTCCGCCTGGGTTGCGCCCGCAGGGCGCTCGCATGCTTCCAGGCGCCGATCCTCATACGCATGGCCTGGCCAGAGGCCAGGTCATACAGATAGGCCTGGCCCAACCTTGCGCCAAGTACCCGTCCCCTCTGGTCGCGTCAAGCGGCCCCCGACGTGGCAGTGATCCCATCGGCGGTCATCCCGTGCGGCCCATTCGCCTCTTGGGCCCCCTCCTGGCCGCTCTCGGTTTACGGCGCTGGTCCCTCGGCTACCCTGTCCGCTCGGGCATCTCCTCTGATCGGCGCAGGTTTTTGGACCCGGACGGGGCTAGGACGAGGGTAAATCCGTTACAGAGCGTTCCGGGACGCTCTCGGAGCGTTCGTGGCGCTCTGAGAAGACCGTGGCGCCCGAGACATTTTCCCGAGCCGCCAGATCTCTGAGATTCTCGATTCATCCTCACCCGATGTTATCCTGGCCCTGGCTCCGTCTTGTGGACAGCTTGCAGCACTGTTCCCGAGGCTCTCGGGAAGAGGATCGAGCAGGGGACCCGCGACCAAGACGGCGCCCAGGAGGCCTCCCGGGAGGCGTCCAGCAGGCAGGTGCAGTATCGGCACCCAGCTGTGGCACGCTGGCACCACCCCCTCTGGCCTGCGAGCCGCAGCCCCTGACCCAGGCCGCAGGAGAGCAGGAGGGAACGAAACACACAGACACAATGAATCGTCGACTCCCCACGAAACATGGGAGAATATGGGCATTGGGCGGGAAGACAAAAGCCCAGAAAATACGGCCGCCTTCGCGGGCGGGCGCAGAGGGGATGATGATGATGATGATGATGATGATGATGATGATGATGATGATGATGATGATGATGATGATGATGATGATGATGATGATGATGATGATGATGATGATGATGATGATGATGCTGATGCTGATGCTGATGCTGATGCTGATGCTGATGCTGATGATCATGCTCATGCTGATGCTGATGCTGATGCTGGAGGAGGGAGGAGGAGGAGGAGGAGGAGGAGGAGTAAAGGGGGGAGGGGGGAGGAGGGGGAGGCGGTGAGGAGGCGGAGGAGTAGGAGGCGGAGGCCGCCTTTGCGGGCGGCATCCCCCACGCGCGGCGGGGCCTCGCGGAGCGCGGCCGCTGCCCCTCTCTGCTGCCGCTGCTCCTCCCCGCCTCTCTTCCTCCTCCATCCCTCCCTTTATCCTCCTCCTCCTCCTCTCCTCCCCCTCCTCCCCCCTTCTCCCTCCCCATCCTCCCCCCTCCTCTCCTCCCCCTCCTCCCCCCCCTCCTACTCCCCCTCCTACTCCCCTCCTCCTCCCTTCCTCCTCCTCCTCCTCCTCCTCCTCCTCCTCCTCCTCCTCTTTCTCAGCCCGTGTCTCGCCGCGGGCGCCGCGCGCTCTCGTGCAGCGCTGTTGGGTCGGCTGCGGCGCGGCGGCCTGCTCGCTTTTGGAGCCTGCCCGTGCGTGCGCGGAGCGTCGCGGAAGTCCTCCGCGTCGGAGCGCTCCCCTCCTCTTCCTCCCCCCCGCGCGGCCGCCCTCGTCTTCTCCTTTCCCCTGTCATGCCGGACACTTCGCGTGCCGCTTGCCCCGACTAGCCACACGCTGGAGCGGACTGCCTCTGCCCCGCCGCCGACGGAGAAAACGTGCGCGGAACGTGGGGCCGACGCCCTTTCCTCACTCGCCTACCGTCTCGCCGTCGGCGGCGGCGCGGCCTCATCCCCCCTGTGCACCACTGGGGTCCCCCCTGACGCAAACAGCCAGAGCGAGAACCCCTCGGTGAAGCGCGTTGTGGGATATGATACGCGAAAGAGGCGGGAGTACGTTGGCACACTGTCGGGGGAGAGAGGAGAGTAGCAGTCGGATCGAGCAAGTGTAGAGCGACTCTGAATAATGATCAGCGGAAGGGGCATCATAATGACAGGGATCAAGAAAGAGCTCCGCAGAAGGCGAGCGTTTTCTATCCATATCTCCCTTGGGCGTTCTCATGTTATGGAAGTTGGTTTTACGGGGTCCCTCGGAGGGCCCTGCCAGTCGAAGCATTGGGCGAACAGAGCGTATCAGCCCAGAAACGATTTTCACACCGGTCGCTTGCAGCTTTTGCATGCGGCGGTCATTCCCGGGGGGTTCTCTTGCCGTGCTTAGCTGTCTTGCTTCTATCCTGTTGTGGCCAGTTCTTGCCAAGAGCTATACCGCATAGCAGATGGTCATACTCAGACGCGGTGCTTCGTTGCAGCTCACGGTGCCTCGTATTGGCGACAGCCGCTACTACTTGATGGGTTAGCGCCACTCTGCAAGTAGCACGAAGGCGCCCCCCGATGGGTCATGAGCAGCACGTGGACATTTCTAACATCGAATTGGCTTGCTGGGGATGACGTGAGCATCGCCTGAGTTTGGTGCGCCTTGCAGGACAAGACTCTGGTCCCATCCAAGGACTTTGTCTACAGCCCTGCGGAGCCCCCGACCGAACATGTGGTCAACACTTGTGCACACGCCTGCTCTGTGCTTGCTTTCGCTGCCGATCCTGCAGCATTGCCCTCTTCGATGCCCTGTCTACTCGGTGTGCCCTGCTCTGCTCTATGTCTGGCCCCTAATTGAAGGGCGCAACAAACGCCCCTACCCTGGTTTACGAGGCGCTGTGCGCTGAAACTCCTGTGGACCGACAGGGTAAACCCTGCGTGATGTGCGGCGTCCTGGCGGCTCTAGGCTTTGGGGGTTCCCAGGAGGTTTACAGACCACGCACTTGTAACCCAGGGTGGGGTCGTTTTTTTCATCCCTCAACTAATGTCATGACACAGTCAGCAGCCATGCTTTGCCCGCGGGTATGGATTAACACGTCCTTGCTCTTCCCAGGTGCCTGCGGCAGATCCGACACCGTGCCAGCAGAACACCTTGTGTGGCGACCAGAACCGCCCAGTATTCGGGGGTGGACAGACCTCCTACCCTGACACGTCGATTAGTGGATTGTCCGTTTTCGGTTCTCGAGAGGGCGCCGCGGCCGTCATTTTCCAGGCTTGCGCCCGCCAGGTTTGGGCCCGAGGTCGTTTTCACTAAACCACGTTTTACTAAAGGGAGGTCTGTCCATCCCCGAAGTATGCAGTCACGGGTGGCACCTCTCGCTTCCATGTCTTGATCTGCTCTCGTGTGGATGGGGCTCTCAGCAGACCTCTCTCATGCCCCCGAAGACCGTCAAAGGCGACAAACACTGATAGGCCAAACGGATGCCAATGTTTTTGGAATATCGATGGCATCTTGGAGTGTGTGTGCGTTAGTTGGTGCTTGTTGGGGGGGTTCTTGAGCTAACTGAGCACTTCTTTTGGGCTGTTGAGTGCCTGTTGAATCTAGTTCGGGTCATCCTGGCAGCGTTGTTTGCCCTGCGGGGCCGATGTGGAAGCCGCGAGAACTGCCTGGAGGGAGCCCCGGGAGGGCGGGGTGCGTGTGTGGTGGGGGGTGGGCTGGGGGGGGCGGTACATGCGCGTGAGCGTGGTGCGTGGTGTGTGTGTGTGTGTGTATATGTGTGCGTGTGTGTGTGTGTGTGTGTGTGTGAGTGTGATGTGTGTGTGTAGGTGCGTGTGTGTGTGTGTGTGTGGTGTGTGTGTGTGTGTCGCCTCCCCTCCTCGTGCATCGCGGCCTAATTCGCAGGTGTTCGTCCAACAGTTGCCCTTCTGCCAGCGCAGTCACTCTGCCTGGCCGCCGACGCAAAAAGTGTGTGTGTGTGTGTGTGTCTGTGTGTGTGTGTGTGGTGACGAGGCCTTTTAGAAGAACACGTGCGGACAGACTGCCACACAGCACCTGGCACCCGACCGCGCCTGAGCGTGCCAGGGGGGCACGCTGGCAGAGTGTGCTGCCTCCTTTTTCACACGCAGGCGCGTCTATGGGACAGCCCCCCCCCCCCCCGCCTGCGTTGCTGGGTGTCTCTCGCTTTCTGTCCTTCTCTCTTTCTCTCTCTCTCTCTCTCTCTTTCTCTTTCTCTTTCTTTTTTCTGTCTCTCTCTCTCTCTCTTTCCTCACTCTCTCTCTCTCTCTCACTCTCCTTCTCTCAATATCAACCTCTCTCGAGGGCGCACATTCGCATGCACGGTGATTTGATGATGTGGTTCTTGGTGGCCGAGGCAGTCTTGTTGGTAACATGAAGGCGGCCATCACATGTCAAAGTTGAGGGTAGTTTGTCAATTTTCGCATTACGCTGAGAGACCATGCATCGGTAATTCAGTTATTGCTGCAGTGTGCCAGCTTTGCGGCTGATTAAGTTCACGTGCGGCCTATGTTACGCCTACCGGATGGGGCGGCTGTCTCTGCGTTTCTACCATATGCATGTTCATCGCTCTATAGTTTGAGTATCAATCCGGATTGACTAGGACGCGAAGGGTGGTTTCAAAGCAAGGCTCGTGCTTAGCTTGCAGAAGGCTCAGGAGACTGATCAGCTTCTTACTTCAATCGAGTGTCTTCATATCGAGTCGGCATGCTTGCGCATTTTTTTTCGTTCACGTGAGGTTCGCCGAGAAGATTACGTAGAGGTTGCATCGGCATCTGTCACGAACGCGAAGCAGAATTCAGCATGCAAAACGTGATCTGGGTAATGAGGATGTTATGATTGATATCAGACTCTATGGGCAACTAATTAGTTTTCGGCGGCCTTCTTGAAGGACCAGGGCCCCACCAATCGGGGTAACTAATGATTTGTGTTCCGCGGCACCCGCCGCGCAACAAAGACGACGACAGCTACGATTACGATTGCAGCAGCGAAGACTACAGCTATGACACGAGGAGGAGCGGGGGGAGGACGAGGAGGAGAAGGAGCAGGGAGGAGGAGGAAGAGGTTTTAGGACTAGTCATATTCACCGCCGAGTGAAAGGGGGGATCAAAACTTCAGTCTCCTGGGGTTACTCGAGAGGCTTACGCCATGCCGCCGATTCCCGCAACAGGAGTTGTGCGGCTTCCGAGTTCGGATGTGGGTTTCACATGTCCCGACGTGCTGCCGGCGTGTGCTGTCGGGCCGCTGACGTATGAACCCTTTTCGTTGGGGAGGAGCTAAGTTTTCTTTAATGTCTACAGTTTGTCTTAGGTTTTTCCGCAGGTCTTCTATGGAACATGGAAGCTTAACTTTTGAAAAAGGGGCCGAGTTCCGTACGCAGGGTTCCTTAGGACAGCGTCTCGATTGTAGTTGTTATTGATTCGCCTTTCTCTTCCTCCGCGACTGTTGGATTAAGCGGGCTTCGTGGGGGCCTCGTGGGGGTCCACGGGGTCCCCGCTTTTGGTGCCTTCTCAAGAAGCTCCTGGGGGCTTTGGGGGGACGCTTGTGCGACAGCGTCGCTCCCTTGGCTCGCTGGCGCCCCCCCCCCCCGCCGTGGCGCGTTCCGTCGTCTCGCGCGCCCCCCCGAGGGATTGCGTTCCTCAGTGAATTTCGTCGAAACGCTGTCCTACGGAACCCTAGATAATGAACGATACCGTCGTTTTCCTCCACAGTTTAAATTCGATTTCCCACGGGAAGCCCAAGGAATGCTTGAGAAAAGCTGCAGGCCAATTAAGGAACACTGAGCCCCTCCCCAAGGAAAAGGGTTCCTTCTTCAGCCGCCCGACGGTATCGAAGACGCCCGGGGTGAACCATCGCCGCCCCTGCATGTTGGAAATGCCCATGCAGCCAAACGTCGGGCTAAAGTCTAACCATGATGTTGGACTCTGCGTGCCCCCAGTCTTCGGCTGTCGCGGGGCCGCTGTGGGGCCCTCTTGGGGGGCCGCTGGGATTGATCTGGGGCAGGTCTGGACGTCCGTCGGGCTGAATGAGGAGGTCGGAAGCCTGAGCTGGCGAGAAAGTTGAGATCATGTACGAATGTCATGAGCAGCAGTGGCTTCGGGCTTCCCGGGGGTCTTCTGGAGGTCTTCTTGTGCCAACTTGGAGCGTCTCAGGGGCCCACTGGGTTGTCTCGAGACTATGTTTGGCCGTCGTGTGTCGATCTCGGGCTGTCTTGGAAACATTTGGGGGCCAGCTTGGGTTTCTTTTGTATCAGGACATCTTGGCCTTTTTGGAAGCAATGTGTGACCATCTTCGAGGCCATCTTGGGACATCTTGGCCGTCTTGGGAGCCACAGAGGAGAACTTGTGCACCGTTGCGCTTTCTTGGTTGCTGGAGGGGTGCGCCGAGACTCCGCTGGGCGGCTGTCAGAAGGCTGCAGACGGTACAACCTTCAGCACGACACCAACACCTCTTGCAGGCAACAGGAGGCGGCTGATCCCGTGGCCTCAGGTTCACCCGCCACCGTGCCTCCTCGGTGTACATTCGCGTTCGTTAGGGAATGTTTCGGCGGCCTCTGGGAAGTCTCTGGGGGGCCTCGAGGGGCGTGGTCGCGGCCTCTTGGGTGCCTCTTGGGAGCCTCGTGGCAACCCTTTGGGGCCTCCCGGGTGCACCTCCGGGGCTTCTCTCGGGGCAGCTCAGGGCGTCTGTGACGCTCTCTTACGACCGAGCACGCGAGAAGGCCATCCCAGACTTGAAGGATTTCGCAGAGTCTTGTCTACAGTGCCGTTTTTAATACATGCTCCCCGCGCGGATCATGTATTACAAATGCAGGGGTTCAGTACCGAAAACAACGATGAGGTCATGCATACACGTATTCATACATGAACCATGTATTAAAATCCTATCTGTTAAAAATCCCATGTATTGAAAAACTGCCCTGTATTGGTTCCGGGTGCGCCAGTGTTGTGCAAATGCCTTGCCAGAGGGTGTGGCGCGGCATGCGCCCGGCGTGCGCGCGTGCCGTCGGTGCCACGGCGATGCTCCTGGATGTGTGGCAGGAGCCGCATGCAGGCCGCGGGAAAAAAACTAGCGAGCACGCATGCCACATTCTCATCTGTCAACGCCTCCCCCCTCCCCCACAAAAGTTCAAGGTTGGCGGTGGGCCTGATGAGTTGCACCTCGACCGCCGTCTCCCCCGCGCCTTGCCAACTCTGAGTTTGGGGTGCAGGGTGTGTGTGTGTGTGTGTTTACTGATTGTTTCCCTCTACCGTAGCTCATCATGTTGGGAGAGTGGGGTGGGCACGGCACGCGAGCACAGGCTGCGGGCCAGATGTGTACGTATCCATATCCACTGCGTCTTGGAGTTTCGGGCTCCCCTCCCCAGAAACCAGGGGCCCAGTGGATGTGGATAAACACGTCCCTGATCAGGGCAACTCGCCTGGGCATCTTTTCGGGGTGGGCCGGTGGGGTTACGCGAAGCATGCGGGGGACATCTCAGGTGACGCGGGACGGGCTACCTCAATCCAGGTCATCTCGGAGCCCAGAGCTTTGAGGATGTCCCAGGCGAAAGTGGCCGGACCATCTCGCGCGAAGCATCTGTAAGCTCAAAGTTACGAGAGTTTTTTTGGCGAGGCGGGCCGAACCACCCTCGCGCGCGGTATCTCGACCGCCCCTGGCGACCGCCCCCGTCTCCGCTCGCAATCGTTTGCCTGCATGTGGACGCTCCCACTGGGGCCCTCGGTGAAGCTCTCCATAGGGGGACGACACGTGTGAGCGATGTGCCGACGTGGGGCGGGGAGGCGCGTGTGGACCCTCCCCCTTGGGGCCTTCGGTGGAGCTCCCTATGGGGCCACGAAGCGTGCGAGGGGTGTGCCGAGTGGGGCGGGGAGGCGCGTGTGGACCCTCCCCCTTGGGGCCTTCGGTGGAGCTCCCTATGGGGCCACGAAGCGTGCGAGGGGTGTGCCGAGATGGGGCGGGGAGACGCATGTGGACCCTCCCCCTTGGGGCCTTCGGTGGAGCTCCCTATGGGGCCACGAAGCGTGCGAGGGGTGTGCTGAGATGGGGCGGGGAGACGCCTGTGGACCCTCCCCCTTGGGGCCTTCGGTGGAGCTCCCTATGGGGCCACGGAGCGTGCGAGGGGTGTGCCGAGATGGGGCGGGGAGACGCACGTGGACTCTCCCCCTTGGGGCCTTCGGGGGAGCTCCCTATGGGGCCACGAAGCGTGCGAGGGGTGTGCCGAGATGGGGTGCGGAGACGCACGTGGACGCTCCCACTTGGACCTTCGGTGGAGCTCCCCCTGGGGAGGTGCCAAACGCGTGCACGGGCGTGCTGGCAATGGGGCGGGGAGGCGCAGGGGGGCCCGCCCATTGGGACTTGGGGGCACGAAGCCTGCGAGGGGTGTGCCGAAAATCTGCCGAACTGGTTGTGCGGAGGGCAGAGGCAAGGATGGGAGGAGGGAGGAGGGGGAGGCCACCACCCACCAAACCATCCCAACCCAACCCGAAGGCTCAGATTTATCCTCGATTTCTAGTGGGGGGGTCCGGGAACATCGAAAAAACACAAATGGAGCCCATACCCCCCCAACCCGAAATTCGGGTCTTCGGGTTGGGTTGGGGTGGTCTGGTAGGTAGTCAGGAGGAGGAACGCGTGAGACGCGGGGCGCTGTCTCTGTAACACGAGGACCCAATACCGCAGGATGGTTGGCAACAACCTGGTCGCGTTCCCTGTAGTTGCGTGAGGCGCAAGCGTGCAGAGCATCAAATGTGCACGTGCAAGCTCCACGGCCAGGAGAACATCGGTTACGTACTATTCGCGCTTTCTCTCGAGGCTGCCAGTTGATGGCTGGCCTTCATTCGTCTTCCCTGTCATCCGCATGTCCTTTTTCTGCTGTGGCAATTCTTGGCCAGCCCTCCTCACCCCTCCCGCTTCACCGAGTGCGCAGAGGAAGACGAACGATACTGGGAACGTCAAAGCAACGAAAAGGCTGATCTTTTCAAGGCAGCCTCTATGTTTCTTGATCTTAGTGTTCCCAGATGGGAAACAGCGCCAGGAACGGTCGTGTGCACAACTCGCCATAGCATGACATTCGTTTATCATAATTTGGCCACTTCCTTCTCCATACACGCAGTAATCATTCCTGCATGCAGCACGTGGACGATGATGTGCCCGTTTTGATTGTAGGTGTCTCTCTCTACCTGCTTCGCAGTTTAGTCGCCATAGCAGCTGGCAAATTGTGGCTGATGTTCAGCAGAGACACGGCGACACACCACAGGAGAAAAGCACTGCAGATGTTGTCGTTGTCTGGTGCTGTTCTCTTCGTCTGGCGCAGCACGTTGTTGCCCCGATTGCAGGCCGCAGAGAGAAACGATGTGAAGAAGATAAAAGAACTATTGGAGGGGCGGCCGTGCAGCTTTTGCAGAGGAAGTGGACGTCATAGTGTTCGACTTCGCATCATCATGTTTATTACGGGCCCTTCTTGGCTGCAGGTTCGCGCCGCAATCCATCTGGCGACGACGCCTCAGGATGAAGGTGTTATTTCATTTGGGTTTCGAGGCCACGATCGTACGCACCTCGAAAAACTGGAAAGGACGGCGTCCCGGAGGGGATTGGGGACTACCGAGAAAATTGAGCGTGTTTTCGATCCATTGTTAGCCTATCGGCGCGGGCCCTCGCCCCCCCCCTCCCCCCCCCGTGGAGTAGATCTTGACTGTTTCTGGCGCCTGTATCACGCCAGTGGAGTCTCTCCCATAGGACGCACTGGTGCAGACAGAAGCATGTAGCAGCGGTCCAGAGCCAGACCCCCCCCTCCCTCCCCCCCCTCCGCCCAATGTCGAAGCGCCGGATAAAACAAACGCCCACAAAAAGACCTATGCAGTTTCACGTCGCCTCGACGTGGCGGCGACGCCAGCGTGCGCGCTCAAGGCCGAAGGCCCTCTGGGGGCCCGGCCCAGGCCCCAAGGCCCCCAGAGCACAGCACCCGCCGCGCGAAATCTATTCCGAAGTCGGGGTCGGCCGCTTCCGTCGGAGGTTGATAGACCTCCTACCCTGACGCGTCGATTAGCGAATTGGCCGTCGTCGGTTCACTAGAGGGCGTCGCGGCCCTCATGTTTGCGGGCCCAGGTCCGTCGGTGTCGGTCCCAGGCCGTCTTCACTGAAAAGGGTGGTTCACCTGCAGGGAGGTCTGTCCACCGCCGATTCTGTGGGGCGCTGGGGAACGAAGATCGCCCTAGGTCGAGCGCTTCACTCGGTGTCAGAGATTGGAGCCGACGTGGCCGCGGCACGAGTGCACGGCCGCCGGATGACTCTCTCGCGAGAGCGCCGTCGACGCGCGCAGCCCAACCCCCGCTCTGAGATGACGCCTCGAGCGGCAGCCGCGCTCCTGAGCGCGCGTGGCAGGGGAGAGTGCCGGGGGGCCCTCCGCTCTACCCCCGCACCCTCCGCACAGGCTCTCGGATCTACATTGCCGTTTTGAAAAACATGCTCCGCGGCGTGCGGATCATGTATAACACATGCAGGGCTTTAGTATAAATAACAGCGATGAGTTCACGCATAAACTTTTTCATGAATGAATCATGTATTAAAATCCCATTCAACAGATCCACTGTACTAAAAACTGCCCTGTACCCCCAAAGCGCAGCGAGGTGATCGTTTTGCTATTCGTTGCTTTGCCGATCGGCGCGGGCCCTCGCCCCCCCCCCCAATGAAGTAGATCTTGGCTGTTTTTGGCGCCCGTTCCGAGCAGGTGGAGCCTCCCCCGTAATGGATGCCCTGTTGCAAGCAGTCACATCAAGCAGAGGTCCAGAGCCATGCCCCCCCCTCCCCCCCCCCCTGCGCCCAATGTTGAAACGCGGAATAAAAAACGCTCGCGAGTGCCTGTTCTCTGGAGCGGACTACGAGGAGGTCTCCAGCAGCAGATCCGCACTCCAGGGTAGACTGGCAAGGAGGCGTCGAGTCGCAGCTTCTCCCCGCTCTCCCAGGGAGGGCGCCAGAAGTCAGCGTGGGCCACCGAACGGTCGTCTGGATCGCTTGTAGGATCACAGGCGGCTGTCGCACTGATGAGCAAAGGTAAATCGTCCTCCCTCCCCTGCCCCCCTGTTTCCTCGCATCCCTCCGCCCCTCCTGCCACCCCACATCCTTACACCCCTTCTCCCTCCTCCCCCCCCCTCTCTCTCTCTCGCTCTCTCTCTCTCTCTCTCTCTTTCTCTCTCTTGTCTTCCCAGGCAATGGATCGAGGCCGAGGGACACTTACTGGCTGATGACGCTGCCGCCCTTCCGCTCATCCCCGCGAAACGAAGAGGTGAAAAGGCCCTCTCTCCTCCCTCCTCCCTCCTCCCCTCCTCCTTCCTCTTGGGCACCCACGGCGGGCACCACGACGACCAGAACGCCGAGACCATGCCCTCCCCCGCTGTCGGTGTCAGAGTTGCTGGGCTTGCACCTGGCAGCATGGTGCCGCTGGGCCCCGGCAGGAGCCTCCCTGGAAGTGCCCTGGGTGCCGCAGTGACGGGTTCTGGGACAACCGTGTGGTGTGCTCCTGTGGGCGTGATGCGCCAGGACCAGGGGCCAGAAAAGGCGTGCAGCAGGCGCACCAAGCAGCCACTGCGCGGAGGCCGGCCGCGCTGCTACTCGGTCACGTTCTCGCCCACGCCCAGGGCAGCAGCAAGTGCAGGGATGCGAACCCTTTGGAGAAGACACAACGCCATAGACGTAAACTTTTTGCGCTCCGCGCGGGTTTCTTGGATCCGCGCTGGTACCCTCTGGCGGCGCCTCCGGCGCCGCCCTTGGCGCGCTCCGCGCTCCAGGGAGAGGGGTCCAGCTCAGATCCAAGAAATCCGCGCAGATCGTCCAACGTTTATGTTGATGCCGTTTTTTGTTTCCCTATGATGTGGCTGAACTGGAACTATACTTACGTCGGGCATGTCCCTCCACAGGAGGAATATGCAAAAATAGTAAAACATACTCTGGGGACCATTTTGCAGTATTAAAAAGTGCTTGATGTGTTGTAAGTTTTTTATTTGTCGTCCAGAATCCCCCTGTGGGAGGACGTGCCCGACCTAAAACCAGACCTGGCGAAGCTCGCGCGGCAGCGCCTCGCCATATGCGTGGGCCGCAGGCCGGGGGCCGACCCCATGGGGCGCTGAGCTGGGCCGCGCCGGGAACAGGAAGCTGGGGCTCCAAAGCCAGGGCAGGGACAAAACGCAGGCCGCCGCCAAGGCGGAGCAGGCATAACATCGGGCACGTCCTTCTACAGGCGGAATGTTCAAAAACAGTCAAAGAGTTTTGTTGACTGTTGTCTATTTGTTGAGTATGATTTGAATATTTTGTCGGGGGCGATGTCATGACTATTGTTGAGTATGGTTTGAATAGTTTGTCGAGTTGTTGTTTGTTTTTTTGTTTGATTGTTCTCTCAAGCTCCGCCTGTAGGGGGACATACCCGACCTCAAGCAGGCTGTCGCGGACAAAGAGGCAGCCACCCCGCAGACCGCCACCAACATCCAGGAGTTCGACATGAATCCCAGCCAGGTCATGGCGTGGGCCATGCGACCTGTGGATGCCGCCACCGACTGCAGGTGCTGAGAAGTCCGCAGGCACTTTCCAGGCCATGGCGCGTGAAACCAAGAAAGGGGGCCCGACGTCACGGTCATGTTGTCGTAGCTGTTGGAGAAGCACCAGGCCTGGCTGGCTGGCTACGAACTAGTAAGTTCGCGACAAGCCTCCCACGGGAAGAACGGACATTTCGACGCCCATCTGCAGCCGACTTCGATCAGTCGGACTTTGGTGATTTCCGCAGGGCCTGCAGCTCCCAGGGCAGCACGCGCGCCCTCGAGGAGCTGGTCCAGCGCCTTGGCAGGGCTGAGTGTCAAAGGCAGTAGCTTTAGCCAGTGGCCTGCGATTCCCAACTCTCAAGGAACCCTTCTGCGGAAACCACGAAGAAGGTGAACTGCAGTTTTGCCACGGCCAACATCACGCCTTGGGGCAGATGGGAACACGCCCCGCCGCCCCTCACCGACCAGATCTTTTTTGCGCAGAAACACGATTAGTCTTGTGGGCGACTCTTTGGATCAGACGCGCCTTGAGGAACAACGGATGGGCCATGGCATTCGCGCCCGCCGTCGTCAAGAACGCCGAGTTCGAAGGATGAGGCGCTGCTCTGGTCAAGAAACGCGTTTTCGCTTGGTGCGACCCGTATGCCCAGATCCAGTGGCCTGGAAGAGCGCGCGTTGGGCACGCTGGACAACCAGGCCTTGGGGTGATCACCAAGTACTCCATTTACCTTGAGGTGGGCGTCGGGTTGGAGGTGCAGTACCTCAGCGTCCCGCGTGCCATCGAGGAGCGCCGATCTGGGCGCGGGCTACAGTGGATGATGGGCGGCAACTGGAACGCGAGCATAGACGAGCTTGGCAGTTACGCTGCCCACCAGGCCCCTGGAGTCCAGATGCGCATCCCAATGGACCGAGCGTGCCACGGCAGCGGAGGCACGCGCACCACCAGGGACTTTGTCGTCATGGGCGGAAGAGTCGGGCCGGACATGACGGAGCCAGAAGCAGGACCGCATCCAGGCACGGCGACCCACGACCTGGTGCGCGCGATGACGATGGAGCGCGCCAGCTGGCCAACTGCGCGAGCGCCCCGGCTTCGCGCGCACAGCTCGGCCCCAGCTGGGCCGTGGCCAGGGCCGCCTGGCCAGGAGCCAGCCCGCGACGAGCTCGACCAGGCGCGCGCGACCCTCGTGCAGTTCAACGCAGGCTCGCTCCAGGAAGTGCAACGGTTGTCACCGCTGCGCGCGACGCATGGCTCAGCGCGGCCTGGGCAGATTCCTATGGCGCCAGGGCGCCGACGCCGGGGGCATGCGGCAGTTCGGGGAGGCGACGCCGCCGTCTCGGCCATCAGGGCGATCGCCCACTCGGCTCGCAGGGCAATTGCTCCGAGTGCGAGAGTTGCACGGCAGCGCCTAGACCGCATTGGTTCACGGCGCGCAGGACACGCGCGCACAGACTGAAAAATGCATGACACGCGCGTGGGACGCCGCCAGAGGGCTCCGAGGGCGCCTGCTAAATGTGGGCAAGTCTGGGCGGCGATCCACGCCGCCGAGGACTGCGACCGCCAGGTGGGCGCTGCGGAAGATGATTTCGGGAAGATGAAGGCCTTGCTTCAATGACCTCCAAGCGAGCTAGTTGGGCCCCTCGGTCAGCCGGGGAGAGCAGGAGCAGCCAGCGCCGCGGAGCATGAGCAGACCAGCAACATTGGTTTTGCCGCCGCCCCCTCCGGGCCCTGGCCGGAGCAGACGTTGGTTCGCGATTGAGGGCCAGGGCGCCAGGCGGGCGCGCGACAAGATCGGTCAGACTGGGGAGGGCGAGACTACTCGGCAGGAGGTGCTCGTGGATTACACGGTCGG